GCGTCACGTCAACTTGATGCATCGCCGACACCGCATTGTTCTCACTTGTCTATGCGTCCAACCTACTATAACGCCTCCCTGTAATTAAATAACCCATTTTTAATACATCAGAAAACAATTAGATGTAAAATTGTATGTTTTATGCATGTGTTATTTTATTCTTTTCAATAAAGCAATTACCAGTACACAATTAAATTAGATAAATTAACACCATTTTCAAAACATGAATAAATAGTCTCTTAAATCGGCTGGGTCAAAAGTCACCTCAATTCAGGGAAATAGTTAACCCAATGCTGGGTTATCTATATCCAGTACATTGGGTCGAGGATTTTACCCCAAAAGGGGCAAAAACTACCTATATGGATGAGTTAAAGCTACTAATACCAGGTGACCAATGTAGCTGTGCTTGAAAATAATGCAAATTTATTACGAGTGTTTTCAAAGAACGTTAAATTAAATGTACTTCAACGTCAGTACATAACCAGCACACAACCAATCTGCTCAAACACAGGTAGCCGGTGAGTGGCAAACAACAGGTGGAAAACAACTTAGCATTTTTACTGTGTGCATTTTCATTAACCAATTTTAGGTTTAAAAAAAAAAAAAAAAAAAAAAAAAAAAAAAAGAACACACTCCTAAGTGTGTTGTAGTGCTCTCCGTGGTGCTGAAGATGAAGCTCAACTAGATTACCTGACATGGATTTAAACGGCGGGATGGTTTGAACTTGAATCGCCATTTTTGAGCGCAAAATATCTGCTCGGTTTTCAGCAGGTGGCGGAGAAACGATGACGCTCGCCTGCTTACCTGCCCGTGCGCTCGGACTTTGGCGCGTTCACTTTCTCACGCGTTATCCATCACAGCTTCACCGTCCAGGCGGATCCCAGTGTTTGTTTGTCACATCCCAACACCTTTGACGAGCGTGGGCCTCGACCCAACAAGTCTCTTGTGTCCCATCAACCATTTCCCGTTCCGCTTGACACCAGCGCACGCATCAGGCGTGGGAAGGCCGGACACGCGCCTCCAGTGATTACAGACTGGATAGACTTTGTGTGCGGCAAATGTGTAAAAGGAGATTATGTGGGTTTAGTACTCTGCGTCTGGCATACAAATTCATCACTGTCGGTAGCACGGCGGAATATAGCAAGTGTAGATTTGTCAAGGGAGGATAAATGGTGACAAATACAAAAGCAACCTCATGACGCTTTATATGTTGCCCCGCATCTGTGTGATTTGTTTTTTTTTTCCTGATGCTGTTCACTCATTTGATTCACTGTGGGAATGCTCAGAGGTACCTTGCGCGTACATCGGAGCCCACGTGCGGAATACATCGATGGTATTTTAGGATGGCTGTGATAGATTGAATGAAGTGTATTAACCAGGAGTATATTGTTGAACATGTTGACATGTTTAAGTGAATTTTATTATGTTGTCTGGGTCCAGATGAAAACCTTGAAGTGAAGCCTTCTTCCTATGGTGCAGACATGATACCAGTTGATGTCCTCAGCTTTTAACCACAGGTAGAAAAGTATAACGGTATGTTTCCATACGGTTCCATGAAAATCAGTTCAGTGAAAATGTGGCTTTTACTCAAAACATTACCTTGTACGTTACATTGCACTTCATCGATGAAAACAATTACCTTATTTTCCGCACTAAAAGGCGCGCCTAAAAGCCTTCCATTTTCTTAAAAGCTCACGGCGCGCCTTAAAATCCGATGCGCCTTGTGTATGGTCATTACGGTAATATTTCGACCCCAAAATGGCTCCTTCCTTGAGACATGATGACAACGCAGAGTTCAAACTTAAGGCGATCGGTTACACAGTTGAACACGGAAATAGAGCAGCGGCAAGAGAGTTCAGCGTTAACGAGTCACTGTTATAACTTGCTGTTGGTTAAGTGAACAGTGTTGCTGCTTTATTAAAGACGTTTTACTGACATCTGATCGTTCTGCTGGCGTTTCCTTGAGCGTAGCTCCATCTAGTGGATGCGTTGTAGGTTGCATCTTATAATGTATGAGAGAAATTACAAAATAGGCCATTCATTGAAGGCGCGCCCCATAATCCAGTGCGCCTTTTAGTGTGGAAAATACGGTAGCTTTCGGATTTCAGTCATAGTGACTTTGGTTTTTGATGTGAGAAATGGAAGTCCAATGGGTGTAAGAAGTCCACACACCTGTGCTGAAGAGGATGTTTTATTATTTCACTTGTTTAGTTGGTCATGATCTCTGTTCTGTTGACTTTGTTTTGATGAGATTGATTTCTGTTTCATGTTTTCCCCGCGTCCCTTTCTTCGGGTCTTATTTTGCTCGTTAGGGTTTTGGTGACAGCTCTTCTCGTCAGCTCGGTCCCTTGTGTCAACCTGTCAGCTTCCAGCCACGTGTGTTGTCCACGCTTACCTTGTTGTCTTGTCACATTACTTGTTTTTAGTTCCCTGGTTTCTTTCGTTCTTTGTCGGTTCAGTTTTTCTGTCGCTGTCATTGTCTGTGATGTTTCCCCAAGTCTTGTCTAATCTTCTTTTGTGCCGAGTTTATTCCCAATTTTGGTTTGTTACTTCGAATGTTGTTTTTCCGCCTTTTATTAAGACGATATTTTTGATTATTCCAAACTTTCCTACACTTGGGTCATCCACACTCCACCATGCAAACTTGCAGCAGTTGCAGTTTTACTTTCCCCCCCTCAAAAAGTTTGGGTAAAAAAAACAAAAAAAACTCGCAGTTGAATTTATAGGTCACTCAAATGTTGGTCTCATTTTGTCTACCACAAAAACCTGGCATTTACACAGCGGGATGTAGATCTTTTAATATCCACCGTTTTAAGAGACAGTCTGGGTGGCTAATGGCGAAACTTACAAAACAACGTAATACGAGTTGTCACGGGTTCTTTAACTACACGCTTCAAACAGTGGATACAGGAAGTCATGGATAATCTTTTGAAATCAAATTAAATTCGAGTGTCGCGATGTCACAATTGTCATCAAATGTAAATACAAGGTTATCATCGCAGAGTGACAGTAGGATGTGCGGAACATACATCTCTTGTCCCAAAACCATTCATCCGACTTCTTGCTATCAAGATCTGCAGCCTTTCGCTGGTTATTAATGACACCCTTTGATGGTGACGCGCTTTAGAAATTAGCACCTAAATGACATGATATAGTCTTTTCAATCTCCATTGATGCCTTTTAGCCAGCACCCTATTCTCTCCCGAGACATTGAGTATGAAAGAGAGAGCGCTAATCCAGGCATTGTTGTCACAAACCAGGAAAAAGGGATTAATTCGGTATCATGGTTTGGAGAGGAGAATTCTCTGGCTCAAGATGAGGTCCCGCCGTCTTGTTCTGGCCCCCAGCCAAGCTTAGCTCAGCACTTCTTTGGTTTCCTCTGCAAGCCCCCCCAATCTCACACACACACGCACACACACACACACACACACACACACACATTTTCCACAATCGTCCATTTTATCCCCACGAAATACAAAACTCTGTCACAAGTGCATCTTGAAGTCGGCAACAAATGGTGGCTGGTGGATGGCGACGCTTAATTTGTCCTATAATAGCATTTTACGATCACACATGTCTCTTCGATCTGTTTCCGTTGTAACGTTGCTTGGTTCATGGCCAGTTTTCAGGAAGCAGATTTCCATTGGGCTACCCTAAGATACTGACTGTTAAAGAAATGCGAAGGAACGAGACCCTGTAAATGAAGGCGGTTTGGCACAAATGTGGATGTGGATGCCTCTGGATATTAGATCTGTATATGCCCTGAAAAGAGTGTGAAAGGTCCAGTGCATTTTTAATGCTTGCTTTGTGGATCCCAGTCGCTTGTTTATACTTGGCCATTGTTGAATTTCCGCTGGCGGATGAGGGAATGTATTCACATCTTTAAAAAAATGGCACCCGTGGGACCTTTAAGTGGGTACACCCACAATGGATGAGAACAAATATTAAAAAAAATAAAATAAAAAATATTTGTATTCAGAGTGGCAGCAATCCAACAATATTTGTGTTATTGTTGACTAGTTTTGCAGTAGTGTCGTAGTTGGCATGCTCTACAATAGATCCAATACATCCATAATGGACGGCAATTTTATTTTTCTTTTGCGGTTGACTTTGAAAATTGAATATCCTTTAAATATCCGGTGTGGATTCATTTTCGTTTTGAACACAAAGACGAGAAAGTGAAATTTGCCAGACATCTTATTGTCTGCAAGTGTGGCTTGAAATACAAATTCTTTGCACTACTGCATTCCTTGTAAAGTGGTTGTCATTCCAGATATTTTCAGTGGGATTTTTCCGGCCACTGGTCATTTTTATTTTATGAATCTTTTTTTTTCATTTTATTGTGCGGTTTATGTAATATCTGAACTTTATAAACAAATAGAGAAAAGACTCCAAAAAGTTGCCATGATTTGATGTAATGTTAAGGAAAAATACTATACCAGGATAGATTTTTGGATCATTTTTGGAACATAAAATATAACATTTTTGTCGATATCGCAGACCCCAAGTCAGGTTTATACAACTGGTCCAAAATGTTTGTGTTGAATAGCTGATTTGAAATAAATTATGTCCTTCAATACACACAAAATGCAGTTTTTGCTGACAAACAAACTGTGAAGAACTCCGAGCCAAAAAGCTTAGTAGGGACAATGCTGTGCGTTATCTGTTCCACCCTTTGTTTGCAGCCATGTGCAACTTACATTTTAAAATAAATGTTATCCCTTCAAGGAAAGTAATCCAACAAAAAAAAAAAAAAAAGATTTTAGAATCAAGCAGTGCACTATTAAAAGCCCATTGAACTACAACCACAACAACAAACAAATGAGATAAATATCTCTGACCTTGTTAATCAAAACCCAGTATTATTACCACAGGAGTACCGATCGCTCTATTATTGCGCTCTTTTCGTGTTTTTTTTTTTTTTTTTTCGACAGTCAATCAGACTTTGTTTCGTCCCTGCAAACTATCAACACACGTGTCTTTTTCTGTCACCCAAACAGTCAACAGTGAGGATGTTGTCTCTACGCGGCTGTACTTTGTGAACGCCTCCCTGCAGCGGGTGACCTTTTCCAGCTCCGTGGGGGTGTCCCTGCCCTGCCCTGCGGGCGGCGCCCCCCATGCCGTCCTGCGTTGGTACCTGGCCGCCGGAGACGACATTTACGACGTTCCCCACATCCGCCACGTGCACGCCAACGGCACCCTCCAGCTCTACCCCTTCTCTCCGTCCGCCTATAACAGCATCATCCACGACAACGAGTACTTCTGCACCGCTGAGAACCAGGCGGGAAAAATCCGGAGCCCCAGCATTCACATCAAATCAGGTAAAGGTGGATACTATAAATGATGACGTCAGTCATCATTTAAATGCCTTTTGAGGAGTTAACAAAGTCAAGTGTCTTTCCAATAGTTTGTTGTTTTCCTCTTGCCATTCATGATCACTGTCCCATTACCTGCTTTAGAAATACAAAGAAGTTCTAAATTGCCACCGCTAAACATCATCACTCGAAACTCCAAACACTTAAATCGACAGAAATTCTCACAAGATTTATCTATCGTTCCTTGCCGCCGATATATGAAGATTTTAAGTCTAGCGGCGCTTGAACAAGCCGAAGCTAGCAAGGCTAACTGCTATTCTCATCCCGCATCTTATTTTCATACTGCCAGACGCACACCAGTGTATAAAGACCGTATTGTCTTGTTGGTCGGATATTTTGTTGCCCCACAGAGTATAATAGTCCGGCAGATGAGCGAGTCAAAATCCTCTATAAATTTGCCGATTGAAAGACGAGATGCCAAAAAGATATGATTAGCGATAAGTCGACTTCAAGCTTGAAATGTCAATGCGGAGTGACAAAGTTGATAAGCACACACAATCGTTTCAACCGCCAATCCCTCCCCTCAAGAAATATTATTTACTATGAACTTGAAGTGAAGTTGCGTGAATGTAGTGTCTTTCCAGTCATTGCCCTCTGACTAAAATTGTGCTACATCCTTGGAAAAGCAATTATACTTACTTGCTCGACTTATTTTGACAATTTCATTCAGTGATGGCAAATGGTTGCAAAATACTGCATCATGACTCAGTTATAAAATCATAAGAGCACAGTCAGTCTCTATTGCTGCACGAATAGATGCATCAGGCAGTTCAACCTAAATATACAGTACTTTTACAGTTTTAATTCACCTTACATTCTGGTGCTTGGTGTCTTGGTGCCTTTTTGTCCCGATAGAAAACCTGGCATTGATCGACTGTAGCTTTGCCTTTTGCGCAGAACCCAGTCAAGCGGGTTGTTTGGAACTTTCCAATTTTGCAAAGTACAATGTGGCATCCCGTAATCAAATAATTCATTGCCATTACTGCCAGCATGTGGTGTGACATGGGAAAAAAAAAAACATTAAAAACAGGACCGCAGCAAATGGATTCAACACAACAAAATGATCAAAATGGGGGTCAGTCGCTTCTGTTCCTGCTCTGATTTGCTTGGTCAACCTGAACGTGGAAGGAAAGCCAAAAAATGATTTTGATAGGTTTTTACTACATGTAGTGGGGCATTACCAGGTGCATTCGACCAAGTAGACAGTAAGCAAAGGATAACAATGGAGGACATCCAGGATTTTTCATCTTGCGACTTATTAAAAAAAAGAAACAGAAGTGACGATTCTCAATCGAGCAATCAACTGCAATGTTGCCTATCGACACTTATTTGTTACTTTACCACATTGGTTAACACACCAGTGGAAGGATTCCAAAATCTGAAAAGGGTAACCTTCACAGCTTTTGATGACCGTCCAAAAATAATGTGTACCATAATGCTTTGTAAAATTAACTCAACTTTTGTGCTTGGTCTCAAACTGGGCGCTGCTGACCTGGCTGCACTTGCTGTCAAGGTCATAGCTAGAAAGGGAAGAAGGTGTTACTTTTCTCACACACACACACACACACACACACACACACACACACACACACACACACGCACACACACACGCACACAAACTCATGCCAGCATGCCTCCTGCCTCCCAGTTTCCCAGTCTCTCCATCTGTCCACCAACTGGAAAGTCCCTTAACTGCACACATACACACAAACACTGCTATACGCTCACAGAGAACCATTTTCGTCAAGCTGGCTCTTGGTATTTCGCTGCCAGCTCTTTGTCGGGGTGTTTTGGCAAGGACAGTTTCGAGAGTCAGCTGCAGACATGGAATGATGCGAGCACAATCATGGAAAGAAAAAGCCAAATAATTTGGAGCGTGTGGATGAATCCTGCCTGACGAGCTATTCATCACTGAGCCCTGCCACAAAAAGCACATGAGGTAAAAAACACGTCCCATTCGGCCCGCATGTTCCACCGGGAGGGGTGGCGGGGTGGTGTGCAGTCCCTCCTCATGTGACCTTCTCGCAAGTCTTCATTTTGGGGTGACCTTCGCCCGCCCAAATAAGTGCGACAATTAATCAATTCAACGCTGAGCTGAGCGCATCTCCACGGCTTCGTAAGCAAGGCCGGAGCACATGAGCGTGCACCTCATTACCTCCATGCACACACCGTGGGAGTGCTTTGGTGTGGCAGTCCAAACTGTGAAATTCTATACTTGCTATTTGCTGTATATAATCATTCACATAAATTTTAAAGTCATTTCAAAGTCGACAAAATGGTTCCTGAGCCCTACCTATCCAGTACATATTAAAGATTAGACATCAATCTTCTTTTAAAAAGAAAGTCTACACGCCCCATGTTAAAATGCCAGGTTTTTGTGGTTGTGATTTTGTGACTGACCATTAATATGACCTTCAACCTGTTCAACTAAATTGAAAAAAAAAAACAAAAAAAAAACCAAAACAGTGTGCTTTTGCCTACATTTTCGTAGTCACATCGAGAAGTCCGTACAGAGCTTCCACAGCTTCATTGTTGGAAGGTTGCAGTCAGAAAAAGTTTACAAAAGAATTTCTAAGGTATTCATTATTCAATGAAACACAGTGAAGGAATCATGTGCAAAAGAACCCGGCGTACCAACAAAAGAGATTCAGAAAACTGGTCAGGGAGGCTGCCAAAGAGGCCGGCAGCCACAATGAAGGAGCTGCAGGAATTTCTGACCAGTACTGGCTGTCTACTTCATATGAGCACAAGCTCTTGTCTGCCTCAGATGCCTGCCACTTAATCAGAGGCCCTTTTAATGTTGGTGTGCTGACTCCCATGTTACGTGAGTGTAGCCAACGGATGGGTCACCGTTACCGTGCTGAGCGGATCTCCGCCCTTTTGGCTGTGTTCGCCTCGTGGGTCTTTTCCAAAATGTAAGCACATGCCAAACACCTCGTTTTCCTTAAAGAGGATTAGGGAGGACATTTTTACAAACCGGAATCACTCGTCGGTGACGGAATTATCATAGTATGAGAGAGGACAAAATCTATTTCCGATTAGCGTGAAGATCCAGGAGATTAATCGTTGGTGTAACAGCCTCACAGACTCAGTAGCTTCTGGACGAAGGCAAGAACATCTGTGTTTTTACATGATATATCTAAAATACAGAAAGACTAAATCGTTGATGTACTTCATTTCAGCATTAACACAAACACACCCATAACGTTTACGCTTGAATTTGTCAATCCGATGCTTTTGAGCCAAGGTTTGTACACCGTACACCTTGCAATCACTAAGGACACCTGTTCGGCGAAATACCCCCTTTGTCCCGACCACAGACCTTCCCGAGTTGGGCTTGCTCAGGCCAAGACAGCAGGTGTTCATATCATTTTCCCTCTCCATCTGTCCTCCTTATCTCATATGTGGTTGATATCGATTTACTAATATAGTAAGCAGGAGCTAGAAGCCTGGAAATAAAACACACTGACAGTGCCTGCTTTCCTGTTCACTTCGTAAAAAAAAAAAAACAAAACAAAACAAAGAAAACCTGCACCCATTCGTCTGCACATGTCATTATAATTTCCCTTCTCTCTTTCCTGTGTTTTTGCTTCTGTCTTTATGAATAAGTAAATGCAGTATTTGGTTTCCCCAGCGTTAATTATTGAAGCGACAGTGATACAGGACTTGCCTCCCAGTGCGCTCCGTGCGCCAGAGCCATGTTTTAGCTCGTTCCTAGGCAACCGGGCCGCATATAGTCAGGCATCAGTGACATCCGAAGATTCTGCGGTGTGGTGCAATTTATTCACAAATCAGATGGGCTCCCATTTGCATCTTTGCGTTCGTTTCTGGAGAATATCACACCTTTGCAGCTGGTGTACAACAGCACTTTGGCATTCTGACAAAAAGAATAAAAAATATTCTCAAGAGATTTGAGACAGAGAGGGAGTCCGATCCTCAAGTTTCATTGACTCGTGGCTGTGGCGTCGTTGCACCAAAACATTTACAAGCTGTCAAGCTGATTTTAAACACTCTATGATGGGCTTCGGGGAGATTGGGAATTTTTCTTACCATTGACGAGTGGCAGCAGGGTCAATCAGAGAGTAAATAAATGATTGAAAGAACGGGCAGCCCAGGCTACTCAGTCGATCGGCGCTATTGATCGGCAGGTAGATGGTATCAGTGAAAGGCAGTGACAGCTTGAGATGAAGAGCTGGACTCGAGACTTGATTGCAATTATATGTCCTTTAGCTTTGAATTGTTTACAAACGAGGCATCATCTCACATTAGTTTTTCACGTGTCAGGCGACTTAAAGTGAAAGCGTGATCGTCCCTCCAGAGAATGTGTAAAGGTTGCGATTCATTTATGGCCAAAAAGTCCCATGTGCTCAAGTCAGAAAAGGCGTAGTTTGAGTTACCGTAAAATCGAGGCATTCCCTGTCAAATCTGACTTTTTGTGCATTCTCCAGTCAGCCTGCGATAAAGTGACCACTTGGTCCATGACACAAGGAAGGGTGGGCGCCGATGATATGCATAATCCCCCCGCCGCCAACACACACCCCCTTTTTTATTGATGGACCTTCAAACTTTATTTGTCATAAGCACAGTATCCTGAATACATTACTTTTTTGGATTTATTTTATACAGTGTAATAAAATAAAATAAAATATGCTCCCCTTCAAAGCATCACGGTGTGCATGCCCTGACTGGCCCATGACACCTCCGCTACATCTGGTCGTGCCATATTTGACGTGTGCTATATATTCTCCTGGATTTCGATCACCTTCACAAGTTTCAAGAAAACTTTGTGTTCCATGTTTAACCGCTAGCCTCAAATCCAAATAAGTTTTGGCTCTTAGGTGTGTACACACCAACTTGTTGGTGACGTGTGTTGAGTGTGTCAGAGGTCTGAATATGACAAGTACATATGGAAAGATGAAAGATTTATATGCAAATGGGAGACTATAGCCCTTAAAGTGCTGTTCAATGGTTTCCCGTAACACACGCTGGTCAATGCTGAGTCACATTGTAGTGTGGCTCCATTAGAAGTTTGCAGAAATGAGATTAAGCACCAAAAAGTAGATGAGGGTAAAAGTACGAGGCAAAAGGTTGAGTTACTTGGAGGCAAAAGACTCTCTAACATTTGGCAAGGACATTGCCTTTGGTTCCACTGAGTTCCAGTGACAGTGGCGGTTGGCATAAAGCATTATTAATGACCAAGGAAACTGGCCTTCAGGCTAGGCGTTAATTATATCACTAGAGAGCTGGGGGAGAGCGTGAACACATCGGAGGGCGGGGCCGCTCCCCGCATTGTACGGGTGTGTGTGTATGATTTGCATTGTTAAACCATTACTGTCCTCATTTTGGAGGGAGGCCGAGCTGGTTGAATAGCAGTGATAGATTGGGATGTCAGGAAGACTCGCCAGCATCAGCCTTTCTCGGGCCCATTTCATTTCTGTAATTGTGTTTTCTTCATTTTACACATTACTCATTCGACTCCTTTTTTTTGTCTCGTGTCGAAATTGTAGAGGGCAACATATCATTGACCCATTCTATGAATGGTAAGTTGGCCTTCATAGTTTGAATGATAGAAAACGGCGCTCATTTAGCGTCAAGCTAGCATCGACATGTCTGTCACTTAAGCAAAATGAGGAAAGCATCTATTCATTTTCTGTGCTGCTTCTCCTCATAAGGGTCAAGGGGGAGATGGAGTCTATCTTTGCTAACTTTTGTGCGAGAGGCAGGACAGACTGTGTGCCAGTAGAATAGCAATACACACAAAAATTATTCGACTCAATGGTGAGCTAATTGAATAACAGACCCAAGCGCTATTCATGTGCTCCTTGGCCGCTACCTGGTGCCTATGTGCACCATGTCGGTGCCTACTTATTTTGAGTCCTCAATGAACTAAACCCGCGTGTTTTTGGAATGTGGGAGGAAACCGCACAACCCAGACAAGCCCACCCAAGCACTGGGAGAACATGCAAACTCCACACATGGTCATAGATGAGATTTGAAGCTGGAACCTCACAACTGTGCGACAGACAGGCGAGCCACTATGTATCGCTGTGCTGCTGCAAAATAATTCATGCATTTTTTTCTACAGTGAACGAAATTTACCAACAAGTATTTGATCCAATCTCAGACATCTCTGAATGTGACTACGGAGATCATTTGGTTCGCTACAGGCTACTGTTTTCATCATTAAGCTGCGTCTTAATCACCGCCACCCTGGCGCCGACTCACCGCCCTACGCTCGCCATGCCATGTGCAGGCCGCATGTTTCTGATGCCTGGCGCCTGCATGTGACAGCCGCTGCGGCCACGAGCCGCGCCGCGCTCCCCCGCCGTCTCAAAGCATCTGCGCCGTTGTTCTTTGAAAGGCTAAAGGCCGCTCACTTTGCATCCCCTTCAACGCAGCTCCTAGTCAGTGCGCCTTACAATCAGAGCGACGTAGAGTTGGAGGACTTCAGACATGAAAGAGCAACAACACCAGCTTGTTTCTTTATTCGACCCGCCTGTGTATTTTTTTCTGTTAGAAAACAGCCCTGAACTGTGCTTTTGAAATTAATTTAAAAATATTTGGTTTTCTGAGCTGATATAAAATGATAACTGATCAAGTTGTTGTTTAGATGCAAAGAGACACATTTAAAATCTTGGATTCCAATAAGTGCCGAACGAAATTTCTTGTGATCTTGTGATTGATGATCGGTTCTCGTTTTGTTGCTGCTGTTGTTCAGCTTCAGTTCAGCTTCAAAAATCCTGATCATATGAAGCCGATAAAACTTTCTTTAAAATATCAATTTTGCTACTGGTAATCCTAGCGTAAAAAGTTAATTATTTGTTAGCCAAGTAAGATTTTCCTCGATCCACTACAGAATCTGCTCCTTTTAACAAATTGACTTTCATTGTTTATGAAATGCAGTATAACAATAAAGCTGCCTTGCCTTGCCTATATTGTACATGGTGAATTTCCTCACTGTTAGAATGATGAGATTTAATCGCTATGATCAAATTTAATAGCTATTCTGTACTCTTCCCGTATTTCACACTAGTGTTCCGGGAGCCATACACGGTCCGTGTGGCTGACCAGCGCTCCATGCGAGGTAATGTTGCTGTGTTCAAGTGCCTCATCCCCTCTGCTGTCCAAGAGTACGTCAGCGTGGTGTCCTGGGAGAAAGACACAGTGTCCATTGTCCCAGGTAAGGAGCTGATCCAGTCACTGTTACTGCATCGTCAGATTTTTTTTTGTAACTTTTGCTGAGTAAATGCTTGGTGTGTTTGATCAACATTCAAATGGCAGTGGAGTCAAACAGTTTTTATTCTCAGAGAAAAGGCTAGAGTTGGATCAGCAATTTCAAAATCGGATTTTCCATCAAACCCTGTCATGGAAATGAGGTGTTGACAGTCCTTGGCTGCTGTAATGAATTTCTCCTGTGTCACTGCTATATCCCGTGTTGTCAGAGTAAGAAGATGGAGAGGAGGATTTAAAAAATGAACCACTCCATCAAAAAGAAGATGAAATGGCCTTTGCCTGCCATGTTGCTGGCTTCTCACTTGCTCACGGACGCCGCTGTTGTTAATAGCCGTGTTCCGGGGATAAATCAGACTTTGGATGCATCCTGTGTGTGCGTGTGTGTGTGCGTGTGTGTGTGTGTGTGTGTGTGTGTGTGTGTGTGTGTGTGTGTGTGTGTGTGT